CCGAATCAGCACCGGCGGGGCCGCTCCGCTCGGGTGAAATCGGCGCAGGGCCTCGACCGCCTCATCCGACCGCCCGGCGCTGCAGAGGGCTGTGATAAAAAGCTGTTGATTTCTCAGGTCTCGCGCGAGGCGGGGGTTCGCGCGGATCAACTCCCCCCCCTGCTCCCACATCCCGGTCGAGCAGGCGAGTAAAAACCTGGCTTGGACGCCCGAAAAGGTCTCGGCGTCGATGTCCTCGTCGAGGATCTTCCGTATCCCGCTGAAGTGACCCCGTCGTCTGAACTGGCGGATCGCGAGGGTCGCCAGGGCCGGGTCAGGTTTGCCCCCGTCGTAGACCGCCTTAATGATGGTGTCGTAAAAGCTGGTGGTGGCCACGGAGTCCGGCATCTGCGCGAGGCCGTGCCGTAGCTCCGTTACAGTCGGGGTGTAGATCCCCCGCAGGTGGGTCCAGCAGCGGTGGTAGATCTCCACCGTCTCACGCCAAGTCCCTGTGCCACTGGAGGCCAGGATAAAGGGTAAGGGGAGTTTTCCCCTCGGGACCATCTCCCCAAACGCGTCTGAGATCGAGTAAGGGCTTTCGTTGTAACAGCGTGCACGCTCCCTCGCCACGCATTCCCGTTGCAACGTCTGGTGTTTCGAAAAATCCCTTGGATGGAACCAATAGAAGACAGAGAAAGAGAGAGAGAAGGGGGGGGGGAGGGGGGGGTAAAATAATAATTAAAAAAAGAAAACAACGGGCTAGGAGTAAATAGGAAAGCACTACCAAAAGTGTAACAAAATGAATGATCTGATAATGAAAATGTATATTTAATAATCTACGCAACATAACGAAACCTGAAAATATAGAATTGTATAGCTCAAATTGATTTCCCCTTTTAACGAAATATTTACAAAATTGCGCAACTTCACTTATCGTGCACGCCAGACGGCACATTTGCTTGTGTATTCACAACTCTTAAGTGCACATTCTTTTGCATATTTTAAAGACAAATAACAAAAATGCTAACTTTTCTTTAGTTTCATGTTTTCTTAAATTGTTTTTTTTCTTTAAAATAATTTGAGGAAAGGGTAAAAATCTAAGCACAAAAAAATTAAACGACCTCGAACAAGAAAAGGTAGATAAAGATGGTAATAATACATAATAGGTTAAACCATAATCATGATAAGTCTTACCAGCAGTCGGAATCACTTTTCAGCCCTCCTTCACTCTTTATATTTTTCCTTTTTTTATTCTTTTGGTATATGCGCGCATGGCAGCACAAATAACTGTTATACAAACAAGTCTCTAATCCATAGTCATTGAACCATAATCAGTGGAATATGTGCGGTAATAAGGGACTTAAACAGAAAATAAATTCTAAATAGACACTTTTTCCTTTATAAAGTCTTTAGACATTTTTTTTTAGGGGGGGAAGTCTTCCTCAGTTTTTTTTTAACCATAATTATCAGATGTTCACGCCAATTCCATCTCATCTTGATGTTGTAAGGCTAAAAGTAACTTCTCACGAAACATTTCCAACGAAGTATAAGGAGGTATAGTTATAAGAGATGAACACGATTGAGCACGTGGTAAGTGCTCCAGACTTTCGTTGTTTTCTTGTATAATAATCTGCCGAATAAGTGGTAGACGGCGCTGGCCTGAGGCGAAGCAAAGTAATGCAGCCTTTTCCTCCGCAGTGAACTCCTCCAATATTTCCCAAAAGTACTTCTCACACGTTGGATTTAGCTGTGTGTGTATATAACGTTTTAGTTCTTTAGTACTGGGATTGCTTTCACCACATACTAGTCTCTCGAGATCACACCATGATAGGCAACGCACAACTCGGCGGGGTAAAGTAGTCCATAACCCACTGCGTATGGCATTCAGCTGTTCATCCATAGAATGTACAAGACAGTTTTCCGCAATGCGACGCCGATGATTGATAAGTTTTTCCCCTTTGAGATCCTCCTCATCCAGCCACATGATATTTTCAGCAAAGTTAGGAATAATCTCCTCCGCTACACCGCTCAGAAGGAAGTTATCATCCTCCATACTATTCTCCACGACGCTGTCGACGTATTTATAATAGTCCTTGACGGTGAGGACATCATCGACCAAAAATTTCCAAAGGAATGGGGAAAAATCGATATTCAATGGAAGGTGAGCCCTCGCAACATGGCCCATGATTTTCCCAAAGAAATTGAACAGAGCCAACTCCAGTGACGAGTTCGCTAGGCTGTCAGGCACAAGTGACACCCTCTGTGAGTTGTCCACAAAACAAAAAAGCGGATTTCGATGAAAATCGGAATGGGGGTAGCATTTATCCGGATGCCTCACAAGTTCCTCCGCTAGAAACGTCCATACTTGGCGATAAGGCCCACCCATGTCAATGGGTGCGTGCCCGGAGCCGCTGATGTAGAGGTTCACCTTAAAAAGCGGGCTCTGGGACCATTGCTCCTCGGTAAATCCTCCGATCTGACGATAAAGCTGCGAAAGGACCGTGTAGTGGAGGGCGACATCAGGGGTTCGTGGCAATGTGGAAAAGAGCTCGGTGATGCGGATGGAAATGGACGATGGCGACGTCGCCTTCTCGACTCCAGGGATATTGATGAGGAGTTTCTGGCGGAACGAACGCCGTACCAAAGGTTTGAGGTACAAAAAGGCCACCGAAAGCGTCCCCCTGATGACGTCGCTGTCAAGGTCAACAAAACGACTCGCGGTGGCCATGCAGCTCTCGACGGTTTCAATCACGCGCTCGTACCCCTTCAACTCACCCTCGGACAACCCTATAAGGGCCGAATACTTTGGAAGGAACAAATTGGTTGCGGCGAGTCGTAGAATGAACGTGGCGGACATCGAGGCCTCCAGGCTCTTCTTGTCCTCTTTTTTGTATTCTGTGAGATCCGAGAGGTAGGACGCGATCTGGCTGTAAAAAGACAAGTTTTGGACGGGAAGACTGCTGCGGACGGATTCGTCGTAGTTCGCAATCAAAACGCGTGTGTAGTGCCCCGCCAGATCGGTATAACCATCGGGCACGAACTCAAACTCGCTGGCCCGCAGACGCACCCGCAACCCACTGCATATCCCAGTCGATACGAACGCATACAAGCCCTTATCGCCAAGTGCAATGGGGATGGGGATAAAAGGCCCGATCGTGCCGTTAATGGACCAAGCCACAACCTGCTCTTCCATCCTGAGAAGACACCCCAACACACAACCAGGGGTGATCTCTTGCGTGATTTTGTAATCCTCCTTGGTGTCCTTGGTGCTGACCTCGCTTCCGTTGAAGGAGAAACTGGTGCGATCACTCCCAACGTGTTGACTTGGTACTTCGCAATGCGCTTGCGTACCCCACCCCACTGCAAATGGACTAATAAGCCGATCTGGGAGAATGACTTCGTAGTAGTATTGCCCAGAAAGGACTGCTGAGATGGAACTCATGACCTTCCCCACCTTGAGCTCCTCATCGCTATAATCCCCAAAGGCACAAACCACGTCCACGTGGAGCTCATTGTCCCCATGATGGTCGTTGGTTTCGTCAACCACATAAGGGAGTGGTCGTTCTTCCACTAAGGACTGCCAAATATCCACCAAGCAATGCAAAGGCTGCGTGGGGATATTACGCAGATGCCATGGCTCTTGCGCCTTGAAGTTTAAAATGAGATCGACCCCCGCTGCGATATCTTTGTGCATGTCATTAGACCGCGTCGTGGAGGAAAGAACGTTGCGGTCAAAGTAGGTCACCAGTGCACTAAAGAGCTGCCAATATATCTTTTGCTCATTATCGCGATGGCTTCGTACGAAGGCGGTCACTTTCCGCATAATATTATGTCGGAACTGGCTCCCACAGCGATGCATTGCCACCACAACGGCGTGAAGCGAATCCCAGATTAGGCTTTCCGGGGCTTTGGCCAATGACTCCGGCCGCAGAAGAAGGGTCTTGGTAATGAGAGTCGAAAGCGTTGCCGCGTCCCATGGCCTAACGTCAGGATTTGTAATCCGTTGAGAGGCATCACAAACCATAAAGAACAGCTGCGGAATACCCACAAAACTGGTGACCAATCGATCTGTGAGTGGATGTGTGTTGAAGAGAAAGACGTTTTCCACAAGCTCTTTAGAAATGATATTTTTTTTGCTGCAAATAAGCAGGTATAGGTGGCGTGCAAGAAGAATCACGAGGCGGTGCATCGTTTCGCTGAGATCTCTCAATGGTTTTGCCATGGTAATTGTATCGACACAGTCGGGCAGCGGTTCAATGTGCGCCATGTCCGTATAGCTTGATATCAGCTGTGGACGGTCGGGGCAGTAGCACACCAGGCTACCAGTTTTACTATTTGAATTACAGCACACACCACTCATACACAAACCCTCTGCATCGATGCTCAATTCTGCCATATAGCAATCGGTAACATCCGAAAGAGCCAGCGCACTCATCACTTGGTGCATCCGCCGTACATAGGATACAATATTTTCTGTGTTAATTAGTTGATATGCCTTATTGGTACCAGAAGGGTCGTTGCGTGTTAAGCATAGGTAAACAATGCGTTGATATTCGATATGCCCGTAGATGGCTTGATACCCAATCTTCTGGCCATGAATGTGTAAAAATGCGGTACCAGTTCCACTGTTCTGCAGCGTTAGATCGAATAAAATAGCTTTTAATTTAGGAAAGACTAACTCGCCTTGCCAGATTCCCTTGATCGAGACGCTTTGAAACTCAGAAATTGATTGCGTCAGTCGAATCGTGCGCTCCCGAAAGCTGCAAGGCAGACCATTACTCACGCTGTACCATGGCTTTCCATTAGATTGTTTGACCGGAATGCAATTTTTGTAAGATATCTCCACTGACTCCGATGTCTCTAGATTCACCAGCGTCAACATTTCGCCTTTCCGTACAACTACTTTGTAAAAATCTTTTGAGGACCCTGTGGTGATGCACTCAACAAGCATTCCCGGCTTGAACCGGCGCTTTCGGTCGTCGATCCCGAGCGTCGGGACAAAATATCCAAGACGTTGTGAAGGGTTGATCCATCGAACAGTATTTGCCGTTTCTGCTATTAGGGTGCGAACCTCATTGAGAAAATTGAGCGGGGTATAGTTGTTTATCTGAACAGAAGCTAAACCTTTGATGAGATTGATCAGCTCTGTACCGTGCTGAATGACCAGAGGCGAAAGCGGTTCATTTTCACAGAGACAAGACAAGATTAGGAGCAGTCGCGAAACAACAAAGCCATCCAACAACGTCGCGCCATTCTCGTCAGATTCTTTTTGAATAAGATGCTCATTAGCGATGGCCTTGTATTCGTCGATGAGAAAATGGCAAAGAGGAACCTTGTGCACAGAGTCATCTTTAGCCAAGCATAGCTTGGCTTCTCCATTTTCCATGCCCACTAGAAGGCACTGCACCATACGCTTATCAATATAAATATAGCCCAGTCTCCCTATTTCTGGCGCCATATTGCACTGCTGAAGCGGCAGGCGACAGTTTTCAGGAGTAACATACCGAATCCCTGAATCCCCAGCGCTAACTTTGACTATGCTTCCGTTTGCTTCCTCCACACGAGCAATCATAGTCATTCCACTTTCTGGCCTGATCACAACTTTAACACCCTTCTTCTCAAAAACTACAAAGAAACAAAGCGCAAGATGGTGGTTGGATACCGAGGTCAAGAACTCGATGGGGCACGTGTCGATAACAATCCAGTCTCGAATAAACGTTGCTGTCTTTTTGACAACATCCAACTCAACCGTAATAGTTGATCCATTATCAAAACCGTGCGAGTGGCGGTTCTCGCTGTTGATCTCGCGTCTCATTGAATAATAGTTGCAGTACGTCAAAACCGACGAAGATGGAGAAAAGCAACTGTTCAGCAATTTTCCGCGGGAAAGCTGCATAATCTCATTGGTTAGGCCCACTCCAATAAACACGAGGCGATCCGCCCTTAGTGGCCTATTGTCAAGTGTCTCGATTGTTGCCGTAAAGTGGGTCCGATCTTTGAATACCAAGCCCCATATAGCAAAACTGTTATCCTCAATCGACTCGGCGACACAATTGATGGACCCTTCATCCATACGACACCCATTGCTGCGGAGGTACATACAACTCGTGGCCGGAATCACCACCTGCATCCCTTTCGTTATTTTGGTCGGTGTGTGTTTGGTGTGTACCAGAGAATAAGTCCCCATATCAGTAAAAGTATGATGGGAATGAACACAAAGATCGAAACAGCTCTTGCAAAGGGCGTAGTCCGCGCAATCGACGCACTTGTACCATTGCTTACTCAGGCGCGACTCTAGGTGCTGTGCCGCGCAGCCGTCGCAGTAGCGACGCTCATTAAAAGAGTAGGTTGAGAAGAGTGGTTGTTGAACCGTAAAGCGCAGGGCAGAATCGGTATTTTTCGAAGGTAATAGAACCGCAACCGAGTCCACGTTGAAGAGATGGACAAAGGGATGAAGATTTCCAGTAGGTAAGTTGTCGAAAATGATCCCAAAGCTGATTTCCTCGCTATCGAAAGGTTTGCGGAAGGCACGCATAATTCCTTCGTCACGGTTGATCTCCAAGCGTATAATATCCCCGCTCACAATCACACACCGAGGATCCGCCGCCATTGGCAGGGTGCAGGTGGAGCTGAAATGACGTAAACGCCATGGAGAGTCGTCCATGTCATGAATAGCCCATACCTCGGGGACACCACTGTTTAGATCCTTGCGCTTCCAATTAAATGTCGAGGTGCAGAGCCCGAAGTAGTAGCCCCCACCAAGGATTTGCCCGTTATGGCCACGAATCAGCTGGCAACGAATACTGAACGTGCCCTGAGACGGAACAGCCGGATCAGCGATGGTGATAAAGGGAGTTGTGACGTTCTCGGATCCGCTTGGGATGGTGGCCAGCCTACCACAATATGTTTTCGGCATGCAGAAGCTCGGATGAGACATCGCGGCCGAAAACGTATAGTCGATCGGAATATGAGGCGTCGGGATAATTTTCTTCACCTGCGAGCTACGCTGGATGTTGATGAAGCTGCCGATTCGCAGGCCATGAAAGAGGAAATCCCAGCGTTCCTTTTCCTCATCGATGATCTTCGAACGCTGCTCATGCTCGAGAGCTGACAGTGCTTGGGTTGTGATAAACGGAAGCACGATACGACGCACAGCTGCCACGAGCCTTTCGATGCATAATCCCAACCCGCCCGAAGAGCCAGACAAGATCTGTGTATCCAACGAGCACGTGATCTTTGGGTTAGCGGGGGTGTGGAGGTTGTAAAGGTGCTCATAATTCGCCTCGTTACCGACGGAGAATTTGCACCGCACATCCCCGACTCGGCTTACAGTAATGAAGAACTCCTCGCCGGTGCGACTGCGCAACTGCAGCATGCGCCGATCGGGTAAGCTGTTAAAAAGCGCCAAGGTAACTTTAGGGTAGGCGTGCATATCGAGCTCATTACAAATCCCCTTTGCCACCAAGAACTGAAATGGCTCCAACATTAGCATGGCCCGAAGCACGTCGACGGACGCCGCACTGAGGAGGGTCGAGGTTGAAATAGGGGACGTCATCTCACCCGGGTAGATCGTCACGGAGGCGTCATCGTTGTAAACCTGAACAAACGGGACGAGGTCGATATCCGCGGGAAGGTTGCTAAAAAGCGTCCTAAGTAGCTCGTCATCGCGGTAGAAGTCGACGGTGCGGTTATCGCAGTCCACCACCACGCGAATCATGTCGTCATTACCAAACGTGCGCTGGAAGTTGTTCGCCTTGACGATGGGGTTAGTGGCGTGCGGAAGCTGGGGCGAAGTATCATGCATGGCCCACACAATCGGTGGCTTCACCGTCTTCCAGGATTGGGAATTGCTTGTCGGAGAAAGCGGACTGAGCCTGGCCACCGACACGCCGATAAAGTAACCCCCTTTAAGGGAGTGCCCCTTGGACATGTTCCGGCGGCTAATCTTAACCGAAAAGGACACCACGCCGGTTCGGGGGAGCACATTCCCAAGAACAATACTGCGCTGAGACTCGGGGTTCATGCAGGCGGATTGAACATTAACAATGGACATGGATCGCGGGTCGCACTCGCACCACGTCGGCGTAAAGGGAATCGTGTAAACAGCCTCCGCCACGGGGTCGTTGGCATGACGGAATAGGGTACGAACCAGATTGGCCAAGGCGGTGCCATCGGGCTGATGACGAACGTGTGGGATAATTTCCGGTAGTATACTGATGATCGCGACCTGTGTTAAACGCAGTGGTAGCAGCATCAGCACCGACACAGCATCAAAGATCATCTCCCCAACTACTTCCGGTAGAGGATTGTACAGCGCACCCGTGTTGACGATATGGCGTATGGTGGCGATGAGAAGCATAATTGAATACTCCGCAACCGCAAAGATGACGGACTGCTTGATGCGAATATAGGAGTTTGTGTGGTTGGTACTTCCAATCCCTGTGTTCATAAGGAATGTTGTGACCTTGTTCACCTTTTGGCATACAACCTCAAAGCAGTGCGTTAAAAAAACACTAGCACTTGATTTTCGCACTTCTTGCATCAGACAGGCGCACGCAGCGATGTGGTGAAGTGTGATTGCCGCGGTGGAGGCTACACGGTACCATGTCGGTCCCCTCCTCAGATTTAGTGCAGGATGTAGCTGCTGATAGTCATACACAAAGGTTGAAGTGCCAAAATTCACCAGCACCTTTGCCCCAGATCGTTCACTGAAGCGCAACGTTGGAAAAAGGATGTCCTGTTTCTCGGGCACAGTGTCCATGAGACCCAGAAGCACACCGTTTAGCGTGAAAAAGATACGTCGGTTTGTTGAGATAAATCCGCAGCCAACCGTGTCGTCTTCACTGAACATCGGGAATGAAATGCTATGTGTATCACCTGAGCTGCTATAGAAATAAAGCGAATCTAGCCTTATCGCGCCAAAGTTTAGCCTCGACACAGTGAGTCCTACATCCAATTTACACACCAAAGACTTGATCTTCACTTCATAGTAGAAGACACGCGGCATGCCATCCTTCCATGTAAGTGGCCACCCTTCGTCTGCACTAAGCTCAACACTGTTGATATTGTTGTTTTCAATTAAAACACCCTCCTCTGATCGAGATGTTAGAAGCTGCGGAATGACAATTGTAAAGTCGTTGGGATAGATGTAGCTAATAGAGTACAAATCAACCTCTCCCATGGGCTCAAAGCGGAGTTCCCGCTCCTCGGGTGCCGACAAATCCGTTCCCGTATCTTTGTGCAGATCCCATGGATTCATAAGCATTAGGCTACTCGTGAGAATAGAAATATGGTTCTCCAAATACTTGAGCAAAGCATTTTCGTTACCGAAATTTGCGTTAAAGATTTCTGCGTCTAGTGCGTCAAAGGGGTGACACAAGATGCTCAGTAGCTGCATTGTGGCCAGGCCGTTGGTAGCACGTTCGGTTAGAACCGCCTGGGGGGCAATATTATTCTGACATTTCCCAATCAAAAGCTCTTGGCACTGCATCAGGACGCTGTGTAGCTCCGTGCGCACCTGCATCTGCAAATCAAACCCCGCCCCATTGAGACTTTCGATGTAGTGCGACCCACTGTCTACGTTCACAAAAATCGACAAGACATCCAGTATGGCAAGCATAGACACCTCGGAAGCCTGTTCAGTGTCCTCCAAGCGAAGGAGACTCCTCAGAAGTGAGATGCAATGTACCATTTTAATTGCTGCCTGTGTGCGTTCCACAAGGATCTCCTCCAGCGCAAACGGCGTCATCTCTCGCGCAAGCAGCGTTTTGAGTTGGTCTAAGGTTTCAGACTGCTGGGAGTGCTTGAAGATGCTCCGACGGGAGCTGGTGGAGCGATGACGCTCAGAAATCGATCGAGAGTTATTTAATGAGTTTTCCAGCCGACGATCGCATGAGCCACGACGAAACGCAACCGTCATCCCTTCCATCTGATAGCAAATCGACTTGATGAACCAATTCGCGAAGTCGTTCAAAAAGGTCCGCGTGGCGTCCCGGCTAGGACCTTGGAGCTTCACACCCCATTCACCACTAAACCAGCGCAGTTTGAGCTCGTCCTCCGCCTGCTGTGCGTTGACGCCGGCATGGATGAGAATCGCCAGAAGAGCCTGGATTGCCGGCCGCATTGAAGGTATTATACTCCCCCGCATACTCTGATAGACCTGATCTACAAATGCTCTGCCGTCTCCCACGTTGTTCAAGATATCCAACGCGAAAGTAAAGTGGTGGATTTCCCTACTATCGAAATTGATGTCATGACGGCGAAGAGTGTCGGCATTGAGACCTTGTCGCATTATAGGGGGAACGTTCGTGTCGTTTGCTTTGGGTTTATGGATCAAATGACGCGCGAGAGATACCAGGAGATTGTGAACGCAGTCGCTGAGCAAGCTTTCCCACGAGGTCAGAACGCTAAAATCGAACTGGGAGTTGATGGTGAAGTTGTTTTCCCCGTAACCGAAAAAAGCGAGTCTCCCGCCCTCCAACTTCAAAAAGGTTCGTTCGCGACTCATTTCAATTTTGCTTCTCTGAAAGGTGGTACTATCGCTACGAATAATGCTCAACGGTGGCATGTCGGACTCTTTTTGTACGGCTACGCTGTTTGCGTGTGAAAAATCAATAACAAATCGCCACATCGTATCGCGCTCGCGGTGCGGGGGAAACACGTAGCACGCCTCACGAGTAGTGAAGCTAACCGTCTCTTCACTTCCAACTTTTCCTTTCAACTCATGCAGAATACTTAGGAAACTTTGTTCAATTTTATTGGTCAACACCCACGGACAAAAATGTGCAACAGCGATGAAAAGGGGGATGCATCCTGTGTAGAGAATTGTGTTCTGCATCGGTGCGCCTGATCCTGCCTTGGGAAGCTCCTGCTGAACGAATTCGACAAAAAGCTCGACCAATTGTGAAATTTCACTAAATTTATCGTATGACATCAGCTCCTTCACACATACAAGCACAAAGTTCGTCATGAGCTGCGTGATAGGCTGTGCAGCCGCTCGGTTTAAGGATGTCGTCTCCGCTCTCGACATCACTATCAGCCGCCGCGCGACATCGGTAAGGATGGCCGGCGAGTTCGTGACGATGTGATGGATGAGGGTGAAAAGGGATTCTTTCGTCACGTACACTTTGAGGGTGGCCATACTACGCTCCATGTCGGGATCAAGAAGTGCCTGTACCTTGTCATTGAGTGTAAGAGACTTGCTGGTTGCGGCATTTAGAAGCTCATGTGCAGTTTCGCTAATAATGTTTTCGGGGAACATGTCAATTATTTTTTTACAGCAACTCTTCAATAGGGTGGCCACCTTGGAGATATGCGTCTCGTCGGCTGAGATAAGCATCTGAAAATGAACCAGCGTTAGGGAGAGGATGACTACCACGTATAGCTTATCAGTGTTCGCTTTGACATTCAGGAAAGAATCCGCCAGCGCAAAAAGATTCGTGAAGGAGAGTGGTGTATTAGCAAGAGGAATGCGGTGTAATTCAAAAACCTCGAGATATATCTTTTTGTACCACTCATGCCGAAGCCAACGAACAGAATTAGCGGGTAAATCAACGTCGAGGAGACCGCTTTTATCCAGCTCGTTCAGTTTACACTGCATAGAATGTAAACGAATGGAGCTAAAGGTTGAAAAACGCTGCTGGTACACAAACAGTTTGGACTCATCTGACAACAGGGCATAGATGTTCTCTGAGCATGACCTAGGGCAGTGGGAAATCCGAGTTATCTTCTTGGCAGCACGATCAACTAGCACCACAACATCATCTCCTCCCTTAACGTGTGAAGGAAGAATCATGTATACCTTAAAGCGACTTGTCAGAATCCTGCTTTCTAGGAGTAGCTTAGGATCCATACAAACAGTTAACTGTCTTTCCAGGGGGTCCTCTTCAGCTGACGAAAGACATGGGACGAGAATATTCTCATCCCATGCACATTGAGTCTCGGAGATCGTAAAGGCCATGCAGGATACGGCTTCCTTCACCCACATTCCTATCCCCTCGTCCAAGGGAAAATTCACAAGCGCATTGCAGGACTCCAGTCGCCGCTCCCTCCGATACATCGCCACCACCCCCGCATCGTCGGCGTCCAACCACAGTGCAAAAGACCCCACATGCCCCAGTCCATCCAAACACAGCACCTTGTGAATCCTAAGAGACTTTTGCTGGTCATTACGCGCCCCGGCAAGGTCAACAATGGCCGTATTGACATCCAACGACCACGTTCCCTTATGCCATCGAGCGTGCACGTAAAGCCACGGGGAGCTGCTCGAGGCGATGCCGTAGCATGAGACCCCGTTTTGGGTAAACCTAAAACAACACCTCGTGACGCTCACTATAATATCACCACTTTCGGTAAAGAAATGCGCTAGGGTTCCCTCAAAGTCTTGATGGACATGTACACACATGGTGAAGGATTCCTTCTCGTCGCCAGTGATTAATTCGATCTCCGCCAGGCAAGATCCAGGTTCAAAGAAATACAAAGATCGGTTGCTTCCACTCGGTAGTAGCGGCGATGTCAACATTTCCATCACACCGTTTTTATAATCAAGCGGGATGGACACCTCACTGGTGCGTATCTCCTCAACTACATTCAAGTCAGATGTATAGATCGTGTGATTGAGACCAGCCACATCTGAACAGATAAGTTTCGACAAATCCTCCGAAAAGGTGATGGTCCAGTAGCTCTTGGAGCCTTCAGGGGCACCGGATTCCCTATTTGCGATCGGAAGGCCGGAGGCTACTTCGTACACTTCCAAACCCCTGAGCGTCGCAGCAGCAAGCAGATAGCCATCGGCGCTCACACAAAAGCATTGCATGGTCGTTCCCTCAGATAAGTTGACTTTCAGTCTCTGGTCCTCCTCTTGAAAACAGTCGATTGGGGAGAGGATAGGGCAAAGCGATTTCGAATGAAGCGTAAAGACGTCAATGATACTGGAGGCGGACGACACGTACATGGGTAAAATGTTGGAGTAGGCGGCATGAAATTCCTCCAAGATATTGAGGTACTGGAGAACCTCTTTAATGATGCTCCGTGAGCTTACTAACATGCCGACTAATGAGATTAAATGGCTTTGTTTGTCGCATGATGTTTCCTCTTGCATGAGCATGGCGTGAAAGTCTATTAAGACTGATGTGATGACGTCAGAATCTACAGTGGAAGCCACGCGAGGGGACGTCCTAAACCTCTCAAACAATAGTTGCATTTCTTTACACCCCATGCGCTTCAGATTGACGAGCGAAAGCGACACCACAAAGGCCTCCGTAGCCTGCTGCTGATCGACCAACGCAGTGGATGGTACCTCGTTCTTCGGGGGAACATCAAGCTGGGAATGCTTGTTGATTAAACTTCGAATAGGCGGGGAGTTAGTGTTATTACTTTGCTGTATTTGATTCATAGAAGTGTTTGACAGATTATCCGCGGCCTCCAGGATGATGTGCTCATACATATTAAATGGCGTAGGAATTCTATGAACACTCTTGTAGGCGACCGCTAGTTTATCCACATATTGTGCGACCGCCTCAAGGTTTGTTGGGGCGCTCCCATCAAAATCCGGCGGGGCAACCGGAAAGTGATACATTGATTCATCCGCTTGTTTCTTGTGTAGGTAAGAGCGGTACCCCATTGTGTATACCTGCGAAAGGGTCATATCACTCATATCAAAACTACGAATTTTGACCGCGCCGTTGCCGTTGCTGCTCGCATTGTGGGAATCTTGTATATAGACTGATCCATTTTGAAAACACACAGGTTGGGAGGGCTTTGCGTTGTATGTGGTGGAATGAAGAGGAAGTCCCTCATTGTTTGGGTTCGCATAAGCTTCAGTTGGTAACAAATTGATGCTGACAGCTCGCTCGGAGTGTTGTGGGGGAATGGAGCTCAAGCAACTAATATTTTCTTCATACATCATATATTCTACAATGGAGGATGCTATATTGGTATTCTATGGCAAGATAAGCAAGTAACAGCTTTTATATCGGGGTTGGATGAGCTAGAGAGGGAAGAAATGAGATCATTTGCAATTTAGAAAAAAAATATTAGTAATAGTCTGGATGAAAAGGAAAGGTAAAATACATTGAATAGAAATTGCAGTGGATGGAATAAAAGAGACAATGATCACTTTTAATAAGAATTCCAAGGAAAGGTGTATAACATCAATAGCACCGTTATTTTGAATATTAGTGGGCGAACAACATGGATCGTTTCTCTCCTAAATATATTCCTGGATACACTACTAATCAGGACTGTGAACAATAAATAAATAAAGTTGTGAAGGGGGTAATAGTAATAATATGAATGCATGTACTTTGTTTTCACCCTTTGATGTCCTAAATTTTATTCATAGAAATCATACACTCCTGAATATATATATATATATGTATATTTATGGACTTGCGATTAAAGTTGACAATACCAACCTAACTACTCTTTAAAGTTCCAATGCTAGGTACCATTAATGTATTCCAAAATTGGAGAGTAACTCCATCCTAATGTGACCCTCTCTCTCCCCTCCAAAAAAAAATGTCCTTAGTTCCTCAAAATACCGTTTAAATTCGTGGGTAGACAAAAATGAATTAGTTGTAAGTGCATGAGATGGTATTAGGATCCTTGTGCGAGCTTCAAAAGCATAGTCATGTAGAGAGCGGCGAGGGGCCCTCCTTAGGAATATCAGTCGTATTTTCCTCAGTTTCTACAGGTACAGGCATAGGTTTAAGCTTTGGACCACCAAAAAAGTCGAAGAGCCATTTAATGACCCAAATAATGGTATATATCAACAAACCACACGTAATGCAGACCATTTTATCTTTTTTATTTTGTTATTTATGAAGGAATATATTGTTTGTCGACTTGGTTGATCAAGTGATATGCTTTGAAAATGAATAAACAAAGATATCAAATCTTTAATTTGATATTTGAAAATAGATGATGTTGTTACGTTGATGGCAATGGAATATTCTATTGGTGGTAATAGTAAAAATATATACCATTAATAATATTAATTGTGATTATGTTTTACTGTCATGTAATGTTCAGTAGTGCATAACGCAAGAGCTAAAAATGCAAACCTTTCATTCTCTTTTCCTTCACATAAAAGTTCACAATGTCAACTCAGTCATATGTTGCTTATAAACATATGAATTTGCATTTTAATCATTGTATATCATGAATATCTTTTGTGTACATACCACACATTATAATTCATGATAAACAAAGCCATCGTTGGCACCGATAAGCTCATTAATTAACACTTTATTGACTCCTTTACCTGAAAAAGGTGCCTCGCTTCCTTTGTATAGGCTATTCCATTCTTTTTTTATTGCCTTGTAATTGCGGGTCTCCGTGTCTACCACTACCACATCGTCATCGCCCAAGCCATGACCTTGTAATCTACCTATTTGCCCTTCGCTTGCGTTATCCATCGCCTCGGCGTGACGACGTTTTCGACTCATTTCCTGGTATTCAAGCTCCCAGCTGGACACCACCTTCGAGAGTAGTTGCAGCTGGAATGAGAGGGTGTTTACTTCGATATCTCCTCTCAAACGTGAGTTGGCGAGTGCTGGACCGTGGGGCTCCCGTCGCGATGGCCTGACGAGAATATCGTGAAGACTTTCCTGTTTAATACTAGCAATATCACCAACCACGTCTTCCTTGACAAGGTTGGCTACGCCTCGGGCGGTGGTGTTTTCTATATTTTCACCTCTTGCTTGCCCTTCCTTTTTGGGTTCACGGGATGCGCTAGTTTCTGGGCGGTACGACATAATACGACAGGCATATCCCTGGTCTACTAAAAAGGCTGTCCGGTGTGCAGCGTGCCCCATCTCCAAAGTGTCCGTGCTGATGATAGAGTAAAACCACGCCTCGACCGCTTTGCTGTTGGCGGTTCGCTCTTTGGGCCGCAAAATACGCCCGAGACGCTGGACCTCCTGGCGACGACTCCCACCATGGCTGGAAACCTGGATCACAACGTTGGCGCTTGGCAGATTGACGCTGACGTCCCCTACGCGAGATACGCAGATCACACTCACCTTTGACGTTCGCTGAAAATCCGAAAAGATCATTAACCGCTCTCGATGCTGTGTTTTACCGCTGATGACAGGAGCACCAAGGAGCTTGCCGTACTCGTAAAGCAGCATGATATGGTCGCAGAAGACTAAAATTTTAGACCTGTTATCAAGATGTCTGGATACCAAATCGCGCACACAGAGCATCTTGTTGGGGTTGGCCGCAGCCAACATCACTAACACAAACGCCTTGCCCACCTTTTGAAGATCTGTAGTCTGCGCACTCCGCTCCATATACTCGATCCCAAATTCCCGCGTCATGGGTGTGTGAACCTCGAAGCAGTTGACCTTGGCCAGGTAACCCTGCGCCGCAAGCGTTTCCATCGATACATCGTATAGCTTCGGACCCACAAGGTGAAACAAGTCTAAGATTTTCTTGTCCTCTCGAACATAAGTGGCAGTAAGTCCAATAACACCTTTTGCGTCCACAAAGCTCAGACTCTCACTAAAGGCATCTGCAGGAATCATGTGAACCTCATCTAGGATCATCAAACCATACGGAGCAAATAGTTTTTCTTTTATACTATTTCGCTGTTGGACACCTTTTCTATTCCTATACACCTCCTGAGTACCCTGCTCATTACAATAAGCATGCTTCTGGGCCGCGCGGCGTGTGTGTGCTTTATGCGCACTCACTAGCATGCTGTAAGTGGTGATCACTACATCCGTATTCTCTGTAATCTCATCTTTCTGCTTACCTGTCAAACATGCAATGTGGGAAGCACCGGAACGTGTTGTATCGGGTATCGGCGCGGCACTGCCGTTCATGTTATCATTAGGTTCTGTAGATGCATTTAAAGACGACTCGAACGAAGCGTACTCCATAATCTGATTTTTCCATTGCTCCACGCTTACACTGCCAGCGCATACCACTAAGGTAGGTTTCTTTACCTTGCACATGATCATGATACCAAGAAGAGTTTTCCCGGCCCCACATGGGAGCAACAGACAGCCACTATTCAGCGTACCGCCGGTGGTAGCGGCCTCGAGAGCCTCCACTTGATATGGTCGCGGTTTGGTCTGTGTACGCAGGCTAAGCTTCACGGAGCGAACTGAAACGTCGCGCTCGAATTCGTACTGCTGTTGAATTGGAATTCCAATCAGCACACAGCGCGCAGCCACCGCCTTACAGACAGCTCGGCTTTGTAACGGGAAATAGGGAAAGTTGTCCGTGTCATCACCCCAGGTGAACAGGCCGTGTCGAACCTCAGCGGGTTTGGCCGCGAGGGCGCGGATCACGGCATCCTGCAGCAGCAACGCCGCGGTTTCCAGGTTTTTGCACTGGACCATCGCCTGGTCCTGCTCGACGATCATGCGGGCCAGGTTGTAGCGTTGCATGTTTACCTCAATAAAGTGTCGCACACGCCGGTAGGCCGGGCTGTCGCGGTTGCCCAGATCGTAAACGTTGGCCTGCATGAAATTCATGGCTTCGTCGGAGCTTAAACCGTTAGAGACTGCCGCTCCGAGCGAAAAGGGGGTAAGGTGATACTCGTGGATCAACGGAGGCCGTGAAACAGGCTCCGCAAGAGTTGCCAGCATACGCTGAACATGGGTGTAGTTCGCCCTAAAAGATTCGGCAATGATCGTGATGTAGCCATTGGTTTCGATATGACTGCGTAGGAAAAGACATGGTGGACTACTTGTGAGGTGGCATGGGGATCCCATTTAGAGTGATATGAACTCTATTGAGTCCCTTTTTAGGATATCTCTATAAATGCAAACATAAAAGAATATATATACATATTTATATATGTGTATGTATGCAATAAAATTTTTAAAAAGATTGGAAAAGAAGCGCTCACAAAAGATGCCTAACAAAATAATGGTAAGAATTCCAATAACTCCTAATTAAATTTTAGCTGAAGTGTTACTTCAGCCGCTCCGTACACACTAATTAAAATGAATAAAAGGCAAAGATAATTATGCGCTTATTAGGAGTTCCTCGGGCGTTCGAACGCGTCATAGACT